CTTGAAGAGCTCCCAAAACTGGACACAGTACTTGAGGTGGGGTCTCAGAAAAGGGGGTGTTGGTCGGCAGTCGGCTGAACATGAGCCAGCAGTGTGCCCAGGTGGCCAAGAAAGCCACCAGCATCCTGGCCTGTATCAGGAACAGCGTGGGGAGTAGGGCCCGAGAGGTGATCGTCCCCCTGTACTCGGCACTGGTGAGGCCTCACCTTGAGTACTGTGTCCAGTTTTGGGCCCCCTACCATAAAAAAGACATTGAGGTGCTGGAGCGGGTCCAGAGAAGGGCAACAAAGATGGTGAGGGGTCTGGAGAATAAGTCTTATGAGGAGAGGCTGAGGGAACTGGGGTTATTCAGCCTGGAGAAGAGGAGGCTGAGGGGAGACCTTATTGCTCTCTACAACTCCCTGAAAGGAGAGTGTAGAGAGATGGGGGTCGGTCTCTTCTCCCAAGTCACAGGCGACAGGACGAGAGGAAATGGCCTCAAGTTGCGCCAGGGGAGGTTCAGGCTGGATATTAGGAAAAATTTTTTCCCTGAAAGGGTTCTCAGGCATTGGAATGGGCTGCCCAGGGAGGGGGTTGAGGCCCCATCCCTGGAGGTGTTCAAAAGCCGGGTTGATGTAGTGCTGGGAGGTCTGGTTTAGTGATGGTGATGCTTCTTGTCTGATGTGTGGGTGTCTGTTTTTGTCAGTGAGGTTGACGGTTGGACAAGATGATCTTTAAGGTCCCTTCCAACCTAGAAGATTCTGGGATTCTGTGACCCAACACTTGCCCTTGACCCTCATGGAATTGTCCCCTCACCCATTACTCAGGAGAAGAGATGGGGGGGGGGGCCGTGAGGCGACTCACGCCTCTCCCACCGCTGCGCTGGCTCAGCCCGTCCTGCCCTCAGGCCGGGGGGACCGCGGGGCGGTGGCGGTTCCCGGTTCCCGCCGCTCGGTTCCCGGTTCCCGGCGCTGGGCATCGCCCGCCACCTCCCAGCGCGGCGGCGCGGCGGGGCAATGACCGCGGGTAACCCCCGCCACGCTCGGGGGGAGGGGGGGAGTGTGCGGGGAGGAGAGGGGGCGGAGCCTCGCCGCCTTCCGACAGCCGTCTCCACCAATAGCGTGGCCGCGCGGGTCTTTCGAGACGGAGTGGGCGGTGAAGTGGGCGGGGGCTAAAAGGGGATGGCCCCGCCTCCCCGTCGCGAGCGCTCTAAAGGCGGGCCCCGCGTGGCGGCGGAGCCCTTGAGCCCCCGGCTCCGGGAGGGATGGGGTTTTTTTTTCACTTTTTCCCTGCAAAATGAACCTTTCTGGCGATTTCTGAGCCAAGCTGCTCTTGAGGTACCTTTCCCCGGGCGGGGGAGCCCCAAAACTTGGAGGTTTTGGTTAAATAAGTCACCCCCTCCCACCAGCACCCCCACCCGGGTGCGTTTGGGGCCTGTCAGGGGCAGCGCTGAGGGGGGTGTGAGGGGAAGGCCTGGGCCCTGTACCCCCGGGGGAGCCCCAGAATTGGAGGTTTTGGTTAAATAAGTCACCCCCTCCCACCATCACCCTCACCCGGGTGTGTTTGGGGCCTGTCAGGGGCAGCGCTGAGGGGGGTGTGAGGGGAAGGCCTGGGCCCCGTACACCCGGGGGAGCCCCAGAATTGGAGGTTTTGGTTAAATAAGTCACCCCCTCCCACCATCACCCTCACCCGGGTGTGTTTGGGGCCTGTCAGGGGCAGCGCTGAGGGGGGTGTGAGGGGAAGGCCTGGGCCCCGTACACCCGGGGGAGCCCCAAAATTTGGAGGCTTTAGTTAAATAAGTCACACGCACACCCCCACACCCCCCTTTTCCCCCCTCCAGTATGTTTGGGGCCTTTTGGGGGGCAGTGCTGAGGAGAACATGAGGAGAAGGCTGTACCCCCCAGTGGGGTGCCATGGGGTGACCCCAGCGCCGAGGGATGCTCTGGTGGGACAGGTGAAGGTGGGAGATCAAGGGGTGGGGTGTCTCTGGGAGCATATCCCCCCCCCAAGGACACCCCCTGCCCGTGGGGCTGTCCCACCCAGCGGTGCCGTGGTGCCCCCCAGCCACCAGAAAGAGGGAATTAGAGCCGAGGCTTGGGGTGAGTCACGCCGCTTGTGGAATTCACCCAAAATATCCTGCTCTCCCAGAGAAGAGAATTTAGGACGGTGAGTTTAGAACGAGCTGGCTTGTGGGCAAGCTCGGCTTGGCTCAGCCCGGGCTCAGCGCCATGACGGACCCCGACATCTGGGACAGCACGTGCTCTGGCTCCTCGGCGTGGGGTCACCCTCTGAAGGGGGTTGGGGGGTCATTTTTCCTCCCGTCCTCCCCGCTCCGGTGTCGGGAAGGCACCGGGTGGTTTCCCAGCGCGGGGGGAGGAAACATGTGTGTTGTGCAAAGGAAGTTTTTTTTTTTTGCGGCTGCCCTTTTAAAAATGGAATTTCTCTCAAAGAGGAAAGAGCGGGTTCCTCGGCTTCTGTTTCCTTGCCTCATAAATCTTTAAGGAAAACAAAAGGAATAAAAAGGCCAAGTTTCAGTTTTGGTGGAAAGGCAGGGAGATAACGCAGAGATCTCCTAAGGCTGATCTGTAGTGACTTTACCAGTAAAAAGTGGGGAAAAATACCCCACCCAAACCAGGAACAGGAAACAAACTGGGCTATACTGGAAAGGTTGGGGCGGCTGATAAACGCCTGCAGTAATTTGAATTTCAGTTGGTGTTTTTGGGGCTCTGGTGTGTGTTTTGGAGTAAAGGCACCTTTGGAGCCTGTTATAAAGGAACCTTCACTCCCGTTCACCGTCACGAGTTTGCCTGTTATCAGACTCCTGGTCTGTGTTGTCCGTTGAGCTTTGTGGTGGTTGCTATGAAATCCCTCTCCAATTTCCAGTTCTCCCAGTGCTCCCTCAGAGCAGAAGGCGCTTTGTATTCAAATGACTCGGGTTGCCACATGGGCTTCCTTAAAAGGAAGGTTTTCCTTCAGCAGGCTCTTTAGGTGTGTGTTCCTCATCACCCATGGTGCATCGTGGTGTGTTAACTCTTCTGGAAACGGTGTGTGGCAGGGGAGGATCGATCATTCGTGATCCTGCTCAGGACCCCAGTGAGTTCCTGCTGGTGTTGAGTGAACTCTGGTGACACGTGGGGCCTTTCCATGGGCTTGTGGAGCAGAACTGTGGGCACCAGAGCCTGAGGGGGCTGGCAGCAGTGCTTAGCAGAGCTCCTCAGAGTGTATATATATGTCCTCACATCTTTGTTTCCATCCTAAATTGTAGTTGGGGGGGTTCAGCCTGGAGAAGAGAAGGTTCCGGGGAGACCTTGGAGCCCCTTCCAGTCCCTCAAGGGGCTCCAGGAAAGCTGGGGAGAGACTCTGGACGAGGGAGGGGAGCCCTAGGAGGAGGGGGAAGGGTTGGACCCTGCAAGAGGGGAGATGGAGCTGAGATGTGGGGAAGAACTTGTTTGGTGGGAGGGTGGTGAGAGCCTGGCCCAGGTTGGCCAGAGAAGCTGTGGCTGCCCCATCCCTGGAGGGGTTCAAGGGCAGGTTGGAGGGGGCTTGGAGCAACGTGGTGTGGTGGGAGGTGTCCCTGCCCAGGGCAGGGGGTGGAATTGGGTGGGCTTTAAGCTCCCTTCCAACCTGAATCATTCTATGATTCTTGAGTGTCTGGGAGATGAAACTTGGACCTTTCTTTGCCCAACATGTTTCCAACCAACCTCCTCCACCTAAGAGCTTGCTGGGCCGTGCTGCAGGATTGGTGGTGTGAGGACACCTCCACCCTTTCGCTTGAAACTTTCCTGCTCCATTAAAGAGCTGATGGCAAGAGAAAGGCTGTAATTAGTGCAGAGGGAAAAGCTTCCTTCAGGGTTGGTGCAGAGCCTTGAACCCCTTGTTGTGGGGCGCTGGGAAGGAATATGGGGACAGCATTGCGAAAGGGGACAGCTCCTACGGTACGTTCCTCCTCACCTCATGCCTGGGTCTCTCCTTGAGCAAGAGAAGGTGTTGGTGGCACCTCCAGCAGGCACCGTGCTGTCTGGGAACCAGTGAGTCCCTCCACATGTGGATTTGGGTCCCACCAGGCTGGGGAGGGGACTGAACCCAGGTTTCATGGGTCTGGGTGGCAGCTCCTAGTGCTGGGCTGCTCTGTGGAGATAATGCCCCTTTCCTAATAGCTGTCTTATTAAAAAAAAAAAGAGTAAACCACTCTTTTAGCTGAGAATGGGGCATTGGGAGGTGTCTGCCAGTTATCTCAGGGCTGGCATTTTTGGGAACATCCCTTTCTCAGCTGTGTGTGAGTTTGACTATTTTTTCACGCTGTGAATTGGAGCCGAGTGTGGCGTGAGCAGTGACGTCTCCTTGCGTGGCTGGAGGGGGGTGACACACACACACACACACACACACACACACACACACACACACGTGTGCTCTCCGGGGCTGGTGGCAGGGCTGTGGCTGCTCTGCCCACCCCTCGAAGAGGGAGCTGGGATGGATTCACCAGATTAAAGGGCTCTTCCCTTTTCCTCCTGTCGTTCAGACGACCACGCTCTTCATGTGTCTCACTTTAAACAGCTCCTCTCTAATGCAGCTCCAAAACAGGATGCTAAAATCCGCTTTTTTTTAAAAAAAAAAAAAAAGATGAAAGGTAATGAGGTTCATTCCCCAATCAGTTAGAAATTTCCTGGAACAATTAAAACTTGCCCTGTGGAGTCAGAAGCATCAAAGGCTTGTGATGAACGTAAACCTTAAATAAAGCTGAGGTTGCTCTCAGGGGTAGGAAACGCTTCGTGGAGGTGATGAAATCCCCGCACGAAAAAAGTGCTGGGAGCACTGTAGGAGCCGCTGAAAACACAACGGCTGCTGAAAGCACTGAGTTTTTCTGGGACCAGGTTTAAATCTCTGGGGTGACCCTCCCTGAGGGGGACCCCAAACCCCCGGTGGGGTGCAGGGCAGGCACGGGGCCGGAGCTTCCTTAAGAGGCTGCGGTGTGGGGTGAGGAGCCGCTTCCAATTGCGAGGCAGGCAGCACATGACATAAGATGCTCCAGATCTGCCTCCTGGGCGCTAGTTTAAAAATAAAGGATATTACACATCATCCTCCTCCTTCTCTTCCTCCTCCTCGGCGCCGGTGCGGAGCGGCTGGACAAAGGCGATGCGGGGTACGGCTGGACCCGGAGCCCTGCAGGGATGGGCTGGGGGGGTCTGGGAGCTCAGTGGGGACGTTGTGGGGCAAAGGGAGAGTAAAATTTAAATTTGTGCTCTGTCAAAGCTGTGAATGTCACGCTGCTTTTCGGATGGAGGTATCGGATGTGGATGTATCACCCACCCCCGATGGGGTTTTTCAAATGAATGGGGTGATGAGATGCCACGTCCGCTGTGAGAATTTACCGTATTTCATGCAAAACCAGCAGCCTCCAGCCCTGCCTGCCCCGGCGCTGGCTTGGTCGGATACCTGCTGCAGGGGAACCTGGGTTCTAGTGTGTTTGGGTTGTATTTTGATTTTTTTTTTTTTTTTTCCAAACCTGTTTTCACAGGGACGATGCTGTGTGAGTCAGAGGCACGGGTGGCACCGGCAGAACCGGTCCCTGTGGCTTATTGTGGCTTGGATCCTGCAGGGGACTGCGAGGTGTCGCTGGACGATGTGCGGCTCAACTCTCCAACTAGGTTTGTGCTATTGAAATGTTTATTTTCTCTATGGTGACCTGTATACATGGGATATAATTTGTATCTATCATGCTTACTTAGATTAATTAAGATATTTATTTTTTTGGAAGATATTTCAAACATTTTTTTTTTTTACTGCTTCCAAAATCCAAAAGCTGAATCTCCAATCCTGTAAATCTACAAATCCTCTCCTTGAAAGAAGAGGAAGAGAATTAAATCTGCTGTACCTGCCCACCACGCAGAGCACAGGGCGGTCTGCGTTTAATATGAACTTAAAGCACGGGAATGGCAGGATATTCTGCATAGACAGAAAGATCACCTTTTATAAAGGAACTTTGAGTAATTGTTAACCTATTTAATTGGAAGGTCACTGATGGAATACTTCGAATACCGAGCAGGTCCTGCGTTGGTGTCCTGGCAGCAGAGGCGTGTCTCTGGCAAGGAGAATTTCTGTGCTGATTTTTATCAGACTCCTGTCTGTAGATCTGAGCAGCCTCTTACTGAAGAGCAGATTAATAGTTAAGGGTGCCAGGTGTAATGAGATAGCTGACAAAAAACTCTACTTAATTTTTTTTTTTCAGGCTGCATTTGCATTACATGTTGTAAGGGGGGAGAAGACGATGTGAGTCACTGGGAGGGGAACAGCTGGGGCTTTTTTTGCTGATATTACTGGGTCATTTGCATGCTTTGATCATAAAAGCTGGTGGAGAAATGGTGCGGAACTATTGCAACCAAGGATTAATTTGTGCTGAAAAATGCTCTCAATAATGAGGAGGAAACGCATAGTACGGAACGTCTCGTAATCCCTTTAGGGGAAATAAAGAGAGAGAAAAAAAATTGATTTACTTCCCTCTGGTTTCTGGCTTTCGGAGTGGGTGGGAGAAGCAGTTCTGCTTTTTGGGTCTTAAATCTTATCACGTGCCCAAAGCAATAATGATTGACTATTCCCTAGAAATTCAGAGGAAATGTAAAACAGAGGGAAATGCTTTACCCTTTGTGCTGAAACTCGGGCAGTGCCGTGTGTTGCCTTGGCTTCTTGTGGGTCTAGTAGAAGGGGAAGAGGATGTGGGGCTTGGGGGGAACTCTTCTGGGTTGGACTGGGACCCCCTGCCTGCAGGTGGGGTCTGCTGGTGACAGGCAGGGATGTCAGGAGATTTCTTTTTGCTCCAAAGTTGCTCCTGCACAGGGTTGGGGCTGTTGTGATGTCAGGGATGTGCAGCCCTTCTAGAAGACCCAGGAGCTGGTGCTGGAGGGCAACCTGGCACCAGACATGGAGGAGAGTCAACACCTGGTGGTGGCATGAAGAAACCAATGCCTTGGTGATGGCCGAGAGGAAAGCACCCCAGAAGGGGTCTTCATCAAGGCAAGAGGGACATTGGGCTCTCTGAGGTCAACTAAACCTTGGACCTCAGTGCTATGCTGATGGTACCAGTGGGGTATGGCCCAGGGCAGGGGAGTGAGTCTCACCTGCCTGTAGGTTGGAGGGTGGGATGTCCTTCTAGAGAGCACAGCCCGGGGATGTAAATACCCAATCCCACAGGGTCTGGCTTCCAACTTGGGGTCTGAAGTTGGACATTGAGTTATTCCGTATCCTCATCACGTACGGCTGTGAGACTCTCGCTTGGAAGGGGATGGAGAAAGAACCCTCTTCTACAAGCGTGGGCAGGTAGTGTTTCACCAGATCTTGCAAAGTGGAAAGCAACAAGGCACAGGAAAGACATGGACCTGTTGGAACAGGTCCAGAGGAGGCCATTGAGATGCTGCAAGGACTGTGGTCCCTCTGCTGTGATGCCAGGCTGAGAGAGTTGGGGGGGTTCAGCCTGGGGGGGAGAAGGCTCTGGGGAGACCTTCAAGCCCCTTCCAATCCCTCAAGGGGCTCCAGGAAAGCCTGGGAGGGACACTGGATGAGGGAGGGGAGCCCTAGGAGGAGGGGGAAGGGTTTGACCCTGCAAGAGGGGAGATGGAGCTGAGCTGTGGGGAAGAACTTGTTTGGTGGGAGGGTGGTGAGAGCCTGGCCCAGGTTGGCCAGAGAAGCTGTGGCTGCCCCATCCCTGGAGGGGTTCAAGGGCAGGTTGGAGGGGGCTTGGAGCAACGTGGTGTGGTGGGAGGTGTCCCTGCCCAGGGCAGGGGGTGGCACTGGGTGGGCTTTAAGCTCCCTTCCAACCCAAACCAGTCTGTGATTCTATGACTTTCAGCTGGTGCTGCAGGAGAAGCTCCTGGTGAGGGGTGGGGCTGAAGGAGATGGGGGACAGGCCTGTTCCCATTTCCTGCCAAACATCTGGTGGGAGCCCGATGCACTGACTTTATTCAGAATACCGAAGAACAAGATTTCCTGTTAAATCCATTTCCTGCTCTCCAGCTGGCCTGGCCCCTGGGGGTTCCCACCTGGGTGATGAGGGGGGGTTGATGATGTCCTCCTTGGCGGGGGCCTCCCTTCATTGGACTCCCTTATTGTGGAGAAGGGATAAAAGCCAGGTGCCTGTGTTCCGTCCTGCCCTGCTCCTTCTTCCCACTCCAGACTCTTTGTTCCAGGCACCAAGAGCTGACCTCTGATATTAAATTATTGCTGTTTTCTGGATGTTTATGGATCCTTCTGTGGTTCATCTGAAATGATAGTTACAATCAGGACAACACACGTGTTTAAAGGCAGTGCAGGCAAAGTTGCCCACTCACCAAGAGGGACTTGCCTGGTTGCCATGGCCATGCAGGCTGGTAAAGTTAATAAAGTCACCTGCAGAATGTCAGGAACCACTAATCTTTGATGACATCCAAGGACTAATATAATTAAGGGATGGAGTAAGCACGCCTGGACTGTTCTTCAGCCCATGTGCTAAAGCCTGTCTGGGACTAATGGCCTTTGTCTTGCAGAGCTGAGGCCCGCAGCCCTGAGCCAGCTGAAGACAGGAAGGGAGATGGACATCGGACAGACACTCTGGGTTTCAAAGGTAAGCAGAAGGGTTTTTTAGTTACTGTGGTTTGCATAAAATTATTATTTTCATTTTTATTTTTAATTATTGAAATGAGAGGAATTTATCAAACCATAACAATGGGAGAAGAAACTCAAATTGCAGAATGGTCTATCCAGAAGCTTCTTGAAGTTTGACTTTAAAGCACAGGGGTGCTTTGAGGAGCAAAATAGGTAGTGGCACTGCCAAGGCCTTGTCTGCCAGGTAATAAAGGACTGCTTACATTCCTCCTTAAAAGATAACAAACCAAAACAAAACAGGGTGTATGTTGCAGGAAGCTGCCGGTAGAAGAGCTTTAGGGCAGGAGAGCAGGTTAGAGGGGATGGAAATGGGAAATTCTTAGCAAAATTTTTAAAGTGCTTTAGAAGCATCATCTATTACAGAATCACATGGGGTTGGAAGGGATCTCTGGAGATCATCTCCTGCAACCCCCTGCCAGAGCAGGGTCACCCAGAGCAGGTTGCACAGGAACATGTCCAGGCGGGTTTGAATGTCTCCAGAGAAGGAGACTCCACCACCTCCCTGGGCAGCCTCTGCCAGGGCTCTGCCACCCTCACAAGGAAGGAAGTTCCTCCTCATGTTTAGATGGAATTTCTTATGGTCAAGTTTGTGCCCATTTCCTCTTGTCCTGTCCCTGGGCACCACTGAAAAAAGACTGGCCCCATCCTCCTGACACCCACCCTTTAAATATTTATAGGCATTGATCAGATCCCCCCTCAGCCTTCTCTTCTGCAGACAGAAAAGACCCAAGTCCCTCAGCCTCTCCTCAGCAGAGAGCTGCTCCAGGCCCCTCATCATCTTTGTAGCCCTCTGCTGTCCCCTCTCCAGCAGTTCCCTGTCCTTCTGGAACTGGGGAGCCCAGAACTGGACCCAGTGCTCCAGCTGGGGCCTCCCCAGGGCAGAGCAGAGGGGCAGGATGACCTCCCTCCACCTGCTGCTCACACTCTTCCTGATGCCCCCCAGGATGCCATTGGCCTTCTTGGCCCCAAGGGCCCATTGCTGGCTCCTGGGCATCCTGTTGTCCACCAGGACTCCCAGGTCTTTCTCCTCAGAGCTGCTCTCCAGGAGGTCACCCCCAACCTGTGCTGGTTTGGGGTGCTGCTCCCCAGGTGCAGGACCCTACACTTGCCCTGGTTTAATTACGGGGAGTCACCTGGCAAACTTACCAACAACAAAAGGTCAATAAAAGCGGGGTGGGGGGGTATAACAGCATTTGCTCGAGTATGTTTGATACTTGAGTTTATATTTATGTTATGGCAGATTTCTAAACATTGAACACTTTTCTTTCGAAGGAACCTCTTCGCCTTCTGCCTCCAGCGTCTGGACCACGCGCCGGGATGGGGAGGTCAGGCTGAGGATGGAGGAGCAGGGTCCAGGCAGCGAGGTGCCCAAGACAGTTCATGAACTGTTCAGGGAAGCTGTCAGTAAATATGGAGATTATTATGCCCTGGCATCCAAAAAGAACGGCCACTGGATAAAACTAACGTACAAGATGTACTATGAGGAGTGCTGGAAAGCAGCAAAAAGCTTCCTGAAGGTAAGTTTTTGTTGGATTCTCCGCGTTGGCGTTCAGTTTAACTGCTGAAATGGCTGTAGCCAACTGTGTCTAAAAGCTGCAAATTCTCTGAGTGTGGATGAGTCTTAAACTGATGGGACATACCTGAACGTGCCACGTGCAGCTTGGGAACAACCACAGTGATTTTGTTTGGATTTCTCACAAGTTACTTCCCCATGCAACTGAAAAAAAAAAAAAAACCCACCAAAAAGTAGGGTAACATTTTCTGAAAGCGAGGTGTTTGATGTACATGGCAGAGCTGGCCATGAGGCATATAAATTTTAATCTTTCTGTGAAAAAACTCAAAGGGACGCTTATCAATCCAGTTTAAATGTCCAAACTGGCTGAGCCTTTTGCCTGGACTGAATTAAGACACTCAGAGAGAGAAACAAACGCTTCATATACTCACTGTTACAATATGAAGTCTTATTTCTGGAAGTCAAGGCCTCTCTCTCTGCACTCCCACGGTGGGATCCTCCCGTGTACAAACTTCTGCTCCTGGGACAAAACTGGCTGAGAAGAGATTTAAAACCTGGGACTTTAACAGCTGGAATTTCATAGCAAAGCCTCTAACTGTCACTGGAGCTTGTTGCTGTTGTCATTATTGATGTCTGACGTACCTAAGCTGGGCTTCCATAGCAAAGTGCTAGGAAAGCACTGATAGGATGAGGGGGAAGGGTTTGATACTGAAAGAGGGGAGATTGAGATGAGATCTGGGGAAGAACTTGTTTGGTGTGAGGGTGGTGAGACCCTGGCCCAGGTTGCCCAGAGTCACAGAGTTGTTGGAGTTGGAGGGGACCTTCTAGAGATCATCTAGTCCAGCTCCCCTGCCAAAGCAGGGTTGCCCAGAGCACATCACTCAGGACTGCATCCTTGAAGATATCCAGAGAAGGGGACTCCACACCCTCCCTGGGCAGCCTGTTCCAGGGCTCTGTCACCCTCACCATGAAGAAGTTTCTCCTCATATTTGAGTGGAACCTCTTATGTTCCAGCTTGTGCCCGTTGCCCCTCGTCCTGTCACTGGGAACCACTGAAGAGTCTGGCTCCATCTTCCCTCAAACCACCATTTAGATACTTGTCAACATTAATAAGGTCTCCCCTCAGCCTTCTCTTCTCCAGGCTCAAGAGTCCCAGCTCTCTCAGCCTTTCCTCATCAGGGAGATGCTCCAATCCCTTAATCACCTTTGTTGCCCTGTGCTGGACTCTTTCCAGTGGTTCCCTGTCAGGATTCAAGGCCAGGTTGGAGGAGGCTTGGAGCAACCTGGTCTGGTGAGAGGTGTCCCTGCCCAGGGCAGGGGGTGGCACTGGGTGGCCTTTGAGGTCCCTTCCAAACAGAACCATTCTATGACTAAATGTCTCAGTAGGTATTGTCTACCTTAACCTCCTGCTTTCTCATTCCCAACCCAAATGGAACAGGTGACCACCTGGATTGTAAACCCACAGTTTTACAGCACCATGAGTGTCCGTGAGCTCCTCACACCCAGCACAGACCTCAGCACATCCTTTTTTTCCCCACTTACTGCTATAGTGGGACAGTGTCTGATCGAAAACTTCGCTGCTTCCACTGGCCTTGGGAATTTTTTCAAAATGAATTACTGTCTATAATAGTGTGAACTTTTCCCTTGACTTTGTGCTGGCAGCAGAGATCTGTACATTAACTCTAAGCGTTCTTCAAAGGAAAAAAAACCAAGATTGCTGTAATCTCATCTCTTGTTTACAGCTGGGGCTGGAGCGTTTCCATGGAGTCTGCATCTTGGGATTTAATTCTGCAGAGTGGTTTATTGCTGACATTGGAGCCATCCTCGCGGGGTAAGAACAAGTGGTGTCTCTTGACAGGCATTTTGCTTCAGCAGTTGGGTAGTAATCTCAGTATTCGTGTGAGAAGCAGATTTTTATTTAGAAAAAAACCAACAAAACTACCCACAAAAAAACAAAACCAAAACCAACTGCTTATATTTGAATTTAATTAAGATAGCTAGAACAGAAACTCTATCTTTAATTCATTATGAATTAATGAGACGAAATATATATTATTTCTTTTTTAGCCAGGGGCTTCTCTCAAAATAAGATGAACAGTAGGTTAATCCAAAAGCAAGGGCTGTGATTAAAAATATGATAAGAAAAGTCAGAGAATCAAGGCTTAATTACAGTGTGATTAAAAATATGATAAGAAAAGTCAGAGACTCAGAGCACTGGCTTTTGATAGCCCCCTTTCACCTGAGATGTTTTGGCTCTTTACACCATTCTGACATTTCCCATGCCCCAAAACAGAGCCTTTGCTCTTGGAATTAAGCTCTCCACTTTTTGTTGTGAGAATCAGAGCACTGGCTTTTGATAGCCCCCTTTCACCTGAGATGTTTTGGCTCTTTACACCATTCTGACATTTCCCATGCCCCAAAACAGAGCCTTTGCTCTTGGAATTAAGCTCTCCACTTTTTGTTGTTGTTTTATGGGATATTCTTCCTAAAGTTTTTCCTCTGTTAAAGTTTGCGGTGGTTGGACTTCTGCCAGCAGCTCGGCTTATCCTCTAATTCTCTGTCTTGCTTTTCCATTTTGTTTTGGTTTTCCTTTCCTTTTGCAGCGGATTTGCTGTCGGTATCTACACTACGAACTCTCCTGAGGCCTGTCATTATGTAGCAGAGAACTGTAGTGCCAACGTGGTGGTTGTGGAAAACCATAAACAGCTGCAGAAAATCTTAGAGGTAAAAGACACTTTTGAAATGGTGGGGGCTCCAGCGTCCTCTTGACAGACATGGGGGGGTAAATGCTGGATCTGAAAGCAGAGGTGAGCTGATGGAGCCTGCTAGGGTAGGACGAGGGGGAAGGGTTTGACCCTGCAAGAGGGGAGATGGAGCTGAGCTGTGGGGAAGAACTTGTTTGGTGGGAGGGTGGTGAGAGCCTGGCCCAGGTTGGCCAGAGAAGCTGTGGCTGCCCCATCCCTGGAGGGGTTCAAGGGCAGGTTGGAGGGGGCTTGGAGCAACGTGGTGTGGTGGGAGGTGTCCCTGCCCAGGGCAGGGGGTGGCACTGGGGGGGCTTTAAGCTCCCTTCCCACCCAAACCACTCTGCAATTCTGTGATACTTGGTGTGTTCCCTGTTGAGGCCAGGTGAGCAGTCCCTCATGCTAAATCTCATGAGAGGTTAAGAGCAGGTTAAACGCTGGTTCCACAGCTCAGCAAAGCCTGGAGCATAAAACATGAGAAGCCAAAAGGAACAATTGATCATCCCCAGAGTCATCAGGCAGAATCCCAGTCTGAATGATTGCTGTCTCTAGTGAGAAAGTTCTCTCTCTGTGTCCTCCTTTCAGTATCACAGATGAGATTCTCTTTGCTTTCCTTACAATGGCCAGCAGCAGCACATTAAGTGGTTACTGAGGCCTGAAAGGGAGAAGCAGGGTTTGCTCCTTCTGATGAATCTCCTTTCTTAACCCAGATTCAGCAAAAACTACCTCATCTGAAAGCTATTATCCAGTATGGGGAAGAGCTGAAAGAGAAGAGGCCAAATCTGTACTCTGTAAGTACTGGGCATGGGAATGGCCTGTGACCAAGGGTGGTGCTCAGCTGGTGGCTTGCAAGTGACTGTCACCTCCCCAGGGCTGTCCCCATGTGAGCTTGTGTTGATTTCAGTGGGGTTGCTTCCACTGAAGCCGTGGATGTCTGCTGTTGCCCAAACCTGGATAATCTGTGTTGTAAGGGGGGGAATGGGGGGTGTTTGTTACCCTGCTGAGCTCTGCGAGTCAGCCTCAGGTCCCACAGTGACTCCAGTTACACCCAGTGTGTACTGGGATTGCTGCAGAGCTAATAAGCTCCCTCAGTGTGGGCCCCTCTCTTTTTCTACTTCTCCCCATGCCTCTTGTGGCAACCAGAACACAGTGTGGGGCTGACACTGCATATTGACAACCTCTCCCAGAGGTTTGGACGTAGGAAACAGCTTCCTTCTCTTCATGAGGCCAGGTTGGACTGGGCTCTGGGTTGGAACTGGATGATCTTTAAGGAATCAGTTGGAACTGAATGATCTTTAAGAGCTCTGGGTTGGAACTGGATGCTCTGGTGGAAGGTTGCCCAGGGCAGGAGGGTTGGAACTGGATGATCTTTAAGGTCCCTTCCAACCCAAATCATTCTATGAATCTACATGTAGTAAAGGGTTTAATTTTGCATGGGAATCACAACCCACAAAGTGATGGAGCTCTTCTCTTCTATACACAGTGGAGTGAGTTCCGGGACCTTGGCAAAGATGTTCCAGATGCTCAGCTCCACGAAATCATTGCCTCTCAGAAACCCAACCAGTGCTGTACCCTAATATACACCTCGGGGACAACGGGGCAGCCCAAGGGAGTGATGCTCAGTCACGACAACGTGAGTACCTTTATGCCTCTAACTTCAGGTGGGTGCTGAGGGAAGACAAAGCCTGAAGAACACCCCTGATGTTAAGATCATGACCTTAAACCGTTGTTGTGAGCTGTGTGTCGCTTAACGCCGCCGCGGGGTCTCGTTCCAGCTGACGTGGACGGCGGGGGCGGCCGGGAGGTTCATCATGCTGACAGATGCCAAGGAGAAGCAGGAGGTGGTGGTCAGTTACCTGCCCCTCAGCCACATCGCCGCTCAGATGTCGGATATTTGGTCGGCAATGGCATTCGGTGCCCAGGTTTTCTTTGCTCAGCCAGACGCATTAAAGGTAAAAACAGAAGAAAATAAAAATTCTACACCCCTTCACCTGCTTGTAGCCGGGTGGGTGCTTGAAAACACACGTAGCTGGTCATCAGGTGGCCAAGAAAGCCAATGGCATTCTGGCTTGTATCAAAAATAGTGTGACCAGCAGAAGTAGGGAGGGGATTGTGCCCCTGTGCTCAGCACTGGTGAGGCCACACCTGGAGTGTTGTGTCCAGTTCTGGGCACCTCAATCCAAGAGAGATCTGGAGGTGCTGGAGCGAGTGCAGAGGAGGCAACGAAGCTGGTGAGGGGGCTGGAAAACAAATCGTATGAGGAGCGGCTGAAGGAGCTGGGACTGTTTAGTGTGAGGAAGAGGAGGCTGAGGGGAGCCCTCATCACTCTCTACAACTTCGTGAAAGGACACTGTAGAGAGGTTGGTGCTGGTCTCTTCTCACAGGTAATTAGTGACAGAACGAGAGGGAACGGCTTCAAGCTCCAACAGGGGAGGTTTAGATTGAACATTAGGAAGGAATTTTTCACCCAAAGAGTGGTCGGGCATTGGAACAGGCTGCCCAGGGAGGGGGGGGAGTCCCCATCCCTGGCTGTGTTTAAGGGCCGTTTAGATGCAGTGCTGAGGGACATGGTGTAGGGGAGGACTTTGTAGAGTAGGGGAGATGGTTGGACTCGATGATCCCAGGGGTCTCTTCCAACCTAGAAGATTCTATGATTCTATGATCTCCTGACCCCAAAAGCTGTGCTAACTCGGAGTATTTATGCAGCAACCTGTTTAAGGGTCAGTTGGTTTGACGAGTGCAGCTGCTCTGACCTTTGCCTTTTGACTCCGCGTTGCCATCTGGGATGAGCTGACCAAGCACTTCACAACTGGAGCTTCTGGGTGTCTCACCTGACACCACTTCTCCACCCCAATAACCTGGTTGAGCAACAGCTTTGTATTTACTCTGTCCACATTGCAAAATGCCACCACCACTAAATCCCTGCCCTGGGAATGATTCTTCTCCTGCTGCTGTGTCAGCGTTGGCACTGAACGACCCTTGGTGTCTTCTTGAAACCGCTGTGGCGTTTGCAGGCTCCTGGGGTTCCTTTTTCTTGGTGAAACTGCATTTGAAAATGAGAAGTTAGAGGCATAGAACATCTCTTTGATGAGGAAAGGCTGAGGGACTTGGGTCGTTTTAGAAGAGAAGACTGAGGGGGGATCTGATCAATGCCTATAAATACTTAAAGGGAGGGTGTCAGGAGGATGGGGCCAGTCTTTTTTCAGTGGTGCCCAAGGACAGGACAAGAGGAAATGGGCACAAACGTGACCGTAAGAAATTCCATCTCAAAATGAGGAGGACCTTCTTTGCTGTGAGGGTGGCAGAGCCCTGGCAGAGGCTGCCCGGGGAGGTGGTGGAGTCTCCTTCTCTGGAGACATTCAACCCCCGCCTGGACACGTTCCTGTGGGACCTGCTCTGGGTGGCCCTGCTCTGGCAGGGGGTTGGAGGAGATGATCTCCAGAGGTCCCTTCCAACCCCATATCATTCTGTGATTCTGTGTAAATTCCTCAAAACTGATGGCCAAGTCCTAGGCCTGAGCTAGTGACCAGTGCTGACCTGAAGTCCGGATTGAAGCTCTTCTGAAAGCTGTAATAAATTCTGCTTGGCTCAGGGCACCTTGGTGGACACCCTGCGGGAAGTGAGGCCAACTGCTTTCTTGGGAGTTCCTCGCGTCTGGGAGAAAATGGAAGAAAAAATGAAATCCGTAGGAGCGAAATCCTCAGCGCTCAGAAGAAAAGTGGCATCGTGGGCCAAGGGAGTAGGGCTGCAGACAAACCTCAAGCGGATGAATGGGTAATTACCAACTACTCTTGAGGGATATTATGAATATTAGGAGAACTTTGCTGTCGGTTCCTCAAAACTGATGGCCAAGTCCTAGGCCTGAGCTAGTGTAAATTCCTCAAAGTTGATGGCCAAGTCCTAGGCCTGAGCTAGTGACCAGTGCTGACCTGAAGTCCGGATTGAAGCTCTTCTGAAAGCTGTAATAAATTCTGCTTGGCTCAGGGCACCTTGGTGGACACCCTGCGGGAAGTGAGGCCAACTGCTTTCTTGGGAGTTCCTCGCGTCTGGGAGAAAATGGAAGAAAAAATGAAATCCGTAGGAGCGAAATCCTCAGCGCTCAGAAGAAAAGTGGCATCGTGGGCCAAGGGAGTAGGGCTGCAGACAAACCTCAAGCGGATGAATGGGTAATTACCAACTACTCTTGAGGGATATTATGAATATTAGGAGAACTTTGCTGTCGGATCTGGAATTATATCCTATGGAACAGGCCAGACTTATGGATGGTAAAAGCCAAGTGTTGCAGTTGGACCATTTTTCCATTAGGAAAAATTTTTTCACTGGAAGGGTTCTCAGCCATTGGAATGGGCTGCCCAGGGAGGGGGTTGAGGCCCCATCCCTGGAGGTGTTCAAAAGCTGGGTTGATGTGGTGCTGGGAGGGATGGTTTAGTGATGATGCTCCTTGTTTGTTGTGTGGGTGTCTATTTTTGTCAGTGAGGTTGACGGTTGGACAAGATGATCTTTAAGGTCCCTTTCAACCTAGAAGATTCTGTGATGCTGTGATTCTGTGAGCAGCAAGAGCTAGAGGGGAAGAGCAATTTATTTTTTTTAAACTGAATAAAGCAAAATAGGAGGAAGATGAAAGGACTGAGCTCTTCTAACCATTCTTCTCCTGTAGGTACTCTGAAGTGCCCGTGAATTTCCGCTTGGCCAGGCACCTGGTCTACAAGAAGGTGCGAAAGGCCATTGGGCTGGACCGATGCACCAAGTGCTACACGGGGGCTGCTCCCATCACCAGGGAGACTCTGGAGTTTTTTTTAAGCTTGAACATTCCCGTGCTGGAGCTGTATGGCATGAGCGAGAGCTCGGGGCCTCACACAATCTCTCTCCCTCACGCCTTCAAGCTTAGCAGGTAAATATCTCTCAGGAGGTAGAGCTCTGTCAGCCGGGAGGAAGAATTGCTTTAAGGTTTCTCCTGCACCCAGCACGTTCATTCCTGCTCCTGCAGCTCATCATGAGACTTGCTGCTGGTAAAAAGTGACTGGGGAGCCAGTTCCTTTGGGCACAAGCTGCAGATGAAGAGATGAGTTTGGGACAAGAGCGGTGCTACTTAAATTTAACTTGGCAGGGATTCTCCAGGAATTGAGGAGGAAGGAAAGGGTTCACAGGAAGAAGGAAGAATTGGTAACTCCAGCCTAGAGCTCGCTTTAATGTGAAATTAGTAACGGCAGCAAGACTCTGCCATTGCTCTGAATGGCTTGTTCAGGCTGCAGAGTAAATACCACCATCGAGTAGGAGCTTGTGCCAAGGACATAAATCTTGTCATTCAAAGCTCAGGTGTCTGAGGACAATGGGTGGAAAACCCCAGGTGTGGGAGCACCCATCTCTCTGCAGCAACAGCCTTTTCTCTACTTCCCCTTATACAAACAGATGCCTTTTACAAGTTCCTCGCTGAAGCGGTTGTAATAAAAAGCTGCTGTGGTTTGTTCAGACACTTCAGCTGGAGGGGGGACTGCTGGGATCTCACTCTGCTGCCCGGCTGCTGAGTTGTGTTTGTTTTTTGTGTTTCTGTTCCCTTTGAGCTGTGGGAGGGAGATGACAGGCTGCCGGACGCTGATCGACAAGCCTGACAGCGACGGCAACGGGGAGATCTGCTTCTCGGGAAGGCACATCTTCATGGGCTATCTGAACATGGAGGAGAAGACCAGGGAGGCCATCGATGAGGATGGCTGGCTGCATTCGGGGGACCTGGGCAAGCATGACAAGGATGGATTCCTCTACATCACGGGCAGAATTAAAGGTGATGCATCCCCTGAGCTTTGTTTCCTTGAGGTTAGGCAGAGCCATGGTAGGATGTGTTCAGACCCTGCCATGGCATGCAGGGGGGAACGTTCTAATACTACTCCTGAAGTCTTTAATGTGACTCTGGCTGCCCCTGAGCCTGTGAGGGGAGGGAGGTGACCTCTGAAACCACTGTATGTGTGTGTTTTGCAAAGCAAGGGAGAAATCCTCTGGTTTCAGAAGCAGTAGTCAATGCTCTGTTGACTTATTTTTTTGGTGCTGGACCTGTCGGGTCCCTCCAGTTCCAGCCCTGCTGGCTCAGCCTCAGAGAGAAAACAGCAGCTTAACGCTGTTGTGAAAATGGCTTGGAGCAAGGGCAGGGCTTGGGACAAACAAATCCCAAACAAATCCAGTCTCGTGGAAGACTTCAATCATCAAAACCAGATAAATGGTGACACAAAGGGGCTTCTTTAAGAAATCCCTAAGACAGCCAAGGAGGGCAGGTTCTGCTCTGCTCAGTGTCACGCTGTGGAACTTCAAAAACTCTCCTTTGCCTCAGAAAATGTTTTACTTCAGTTTCTGAAAAGCTTGGGTACCAACTAATGCCCCTGGGAGTCTGAGGTGACGGTGGCAGGGTATCCAGGTGCTCACACACTGCACCCTGTGTTCCCAAATCCCAAACCTCTGCGGAGCATTAAAGCAGCTTTTGCAGCTCTGTTTGTGTGCACCCCGGTCTCCTCTCCCAGCCCCCCCGGAGTCCTGGTTTGTTGTCTTCTCCAGATTTCACTGAATTTCACTGAATTTCTAGAGTTGGAAGGGACCATAGAGATCATCTAGTCCAACTCCCCTGCTGAAGCAGGATTGCCTAGAGCTTGTCAGAGCATGTTACTCAGGAGCATCCAGGCGGGTCTTGAAAATCTCCAAGGAAGGGGACTCCACGACCTCCCTGGGCAGCCTGTTCCAGGGCTCTGTCACCCTCACCGTGAAGAAGTTTCTCCTCATATTTGAGTGGAACCTCTTCTGTTCCAACTTGTGCCCGTTGCCCCTCGTCCTCTCACTGGGAACCACTGAAAAGAGTCTGGCTCCCTCCTCCTTCAACCCTCCCTTGAGATACTTGTAGGCATTGATAAGGTCTCCCCTCAGCCTTCTCTTCTCCAGACTAAAGAGTCCCAGCTCTCTCAGTCTCTCCTCATAAGGGAGATGCTCCAATCCTTGAATCATCTGGTGGGACACAGCTCCTTTGTGTCCACCAGGGTCTAGGAAGTTATTTCAGATTATGAGGGAAGCTGGGGGGGAAAGCTCTGAGCATTAATGAAGATTTGTCTGTTTTCCAGAGCTCATCATCACTGCGGGAGGTGAGAACGTTCCTCCTGTTCCCATCGAGGACGCTGTGAAAGATGCCGTCCCCATCATCAGCAACGCAATGTTGGTGGGAGACAAAGCAAAGTTCCTTGCCATGCTTCTAACACTAAAGGTAAGGGAAAGCAGGGCAGGAATCCACCCCAATGTTTAATTCCAGTGAGGAAGATAGTTTTCACACAGTTTAGTGTTTTCTAGAGACGGGGGGGGGGCATAGTGGAGCGTGGCTTGATGTAGCTGAGCTGCAAACAGCAGCTGTGACCCTATGGAAGAATGAGCATTGACACTTGACCAGGCTCCTCTGTCAAGGGCAACTGTTTCTCTCTGCACCTCACAGGGGAGAAAGAGAATTAAAGACCTAAAAGTCAGACTGATAAAGGAAACCCTTCTGCTCTTCTTTAGCCATTTTTAGTATCTCCCAGAGCAGCCTGGACAGCGAGGAGCTGTCAGTGATTCAGGGGCCTACAGGAAAGCTGGGGAGGGACTCTGGCTGAGGGAGGGGAGCCCTAGGAGGAGGGGGAAGGGTTGGACCCTGCAAGAGGGGAGATGGAGCTGAGCTGTGGGGAAGAACTTGTTTGGTGTGAGGGTGGGGAGAGCCTGGCCCAGGTTGGCCAGAGAAGCTGTGGCTGCCCCATCCCTGGAGGGGTTCAAGGGCAGGTTGGAGGGGGCTTGGAGCAACGTGGTGTGGTGGGAGGTGTCCCTGCCCAGGGCAGGGGGTGGCACTGGGGGGGCTTTAAGGTCTCTTCCAACTCAAATCAGTCTGGGAGCCTGTGATTCCTTTTTAAGACCCTGGTTTTAATTAGTCTGGGAGTCTGTGATTCCTTTTTAAGACCCTGGTTTTAAACTCCACAGTGCATGTGTCTGTGGTGGCCTGCCCCAAGCTCTCCCTAGAGTCCCCACAGGCTGGTGGCTTTTCAGACAGTGATAATTGCTCATTAGCAAGACTGACTGCCAGTGTCCTGGCCCTTGTGCAGGAAAGGCCGGGCCAGGCCCTGGAGCTGCTGCTGGTCTTGGTCAGGTGCCATGAGCAGTGACTTGCAGGGGGATAAAGCTGTGGATTGGAAGAAATGTCCAGTGAAAAAAGGGATCAATTTGGGGTAGTTTAGGAGAAATTTGGAAGATGAGCTCTGTACCCAGCTTGCTCTTTGGTATCAACAAGTCTCTTGAGTATGGGGAGAGCTGAGGGGGTTTCATCTGTGTTTTGCCTTAATGAGTTTTCACTTCAAGTGGTGGTTTGCATCAAGCGTGTGCAAATTGCAGCAGTTTCACTGAATTTCACTGAATTTTTAGAGTTGGAAGGGACCATAGGGATCATCTAGTCCAACTCCCCTGCTGCAGCAGGACCACCCAGAGCTTGTCAGAGCATGTTACTCAGGAGCATCCAGGCGGGGCTTGAAAATCTCCAGAGAAGGGGACTCCACACCCTCCCTGGGCAGCCTGTTCCAGGGCTCTGTCACCCTCACCGTGAAAAAGTTCTTCCTCATATTCAAATGGAATTAAGTTGATTAATTGGAGAATTGGCAGGGGGGTGGGGAAGGAGGCAGAGCAGCTTCCTGTGGCTGTGAGGCTCGTTAGCGGGAAGGCAATCAGGTGTCCAGCCATATGGAGATGCCCTGGTGTGACTCGTCCTGCAGTGCACCATGGACACAGAGACGGGGGAGCCGGGGGATGACCTGACCCCGGAGGCCGTTGAGTTCTGCCAGAAGCTGGGCAGCAAGGCCACCACGGCCTCCGAAATCATCCGCACCAAAGACAAGGCCGTCTACGCCGCCATCCAGAAGGGCATCTCGGCCGTCAACGAGCGAGCCGTCTCCAACGCTCAGAGAGTCCAGAAGTGGGCCCTCCTGGAGAAGGACTTCTCTCTCTTCGGTGGGGAGCTCGGTGAGTGGGGCGTTTGGGGTCACCTCCCTTGGCTGGTGAACGGAGAACGCGACCGAGATCCCCAATAGATGGAGCCACCCCCGGCCCTCCCTCCCTGCGGGTTTGCTGTGCCACGGCTTTGGGGAGGGTGGGATAAAACCCCATTTCTTCCCAGCTGAGCTGAGCAGGGCTCACCCCTGGTTCTGGGGTGCCCATCCTAGGAGAGCCGTGCTGTTTCTGCCCACAGGGGAAGGATATGCCCCTGTGCTCAGCATTGGTGAGGCCACACCTCGAGTGTTGTGTCCAGTTTTGGGCACCTCAATCCAAGAGAGATCTGGAGGTGCTGGAGCGAGGGCAGAGGAGGGCAACGAAACTAGTGAAGGGCCTGGAAGACAAATCATATGAAGAGCGGCTGAAGGAGCTGGGGCTGTTTAGTGTGAGGAAGAGGAGGCTGAGGGGAGACCTCATCACTCTCTACAACTACTTGAAAGGACACTGTAGAGAGGTTGGTGCTGGTCTCTTCTCACAGGTAATTAGTGACAGAACGAGAGGGAATGGCTTCAAGCTCCAACAGGGGAGGGTTAGATTGAACATTAGGAAGGAATTTTTCACCCAAAGAGTGGTCGGGCATTGGAACAGGCTGCCCAGGGAGGGGGTGGAGTCCCCATCCCTGGCTGTGTTTAAGGGCCGTTTAGATGCAGTGCTGAGGGACATGGTGTAGGGGAGGACTTTGTAGAGTAGGGGAGATGGTTGGACTCGATGATCCCAAGGGTCTCTTCCAACCTGAATGATTCTATGATTCTATTAACCTCAAAGAGAAATTTAGAATGATGTTGATTTGTTCCGGCTCTTCCTCGCTTTGCTCTGACACAGATTTGTGTCTCCAAGGGGAAACGTCCCCGCTAAACCCCCTCCTGTGTTCCCCCCCCCAGGCCCCACCATGAAGCTGAAGCGCCCGGTGGTGGTGCAGAAGTACAAGGACCAAATTGCTCAGTTTTACGCGGACGTGGATGCGCCCGCGACAGCGAACACCCTCCGGCAGTAGCGCGGGGGCTCCCTGCTGAAGACTGAAGCCACCCTGGGGGGGGAAAACCATCCCTGGGGGCCTGTTAAAATAAAGGGGGCTGGGTGGTAACGGCCCAGCCCCTCTGCATCCCATGGCTCTACATCCCTTGGCCCTCGTCCTGCAGCCCCCGAGCCCGTCCGTGCTGCGTCCTTCCCCGTGTCTCTGCCGAGAGAGCCCCGAACATCTCTGCTTGGTGGTTTGGTTTGGTTGGTTTTCTTTTTTGTCTTTCCATTTTTAGAAGGGCAAAGCCATGTTTACTGTAAATCCATGTAACGTTTTAACCAAAGTTTTCTTTTCCTGAGCTGAATGTAAATCAATCTGGAGCTGTTCCCCCCCTTTGCTGAGGGCAGGGGGGAGGTGGGTTTCTTTTTACGCGGCTGATGTCTGCGGTGTTTTAAGTTCTCTTTGCCCTCCACCTGTCTCCTGTCACTGCTGCATGACTACACAGCCCCCCGCCGTGGGGCCACGGGGCCTCACCTTTGCTGGGGGGGGGGGGGGGGAATATTTTGAGTCTGTTTTATCTCTTTTGAGTTGTAATGAAGCCATAAATGTGTGGTGGTAGAGTAGGGTACGCAGCCTGCGCTCTGGGAGGTGTTTTACATGAAGGGGCATCGATAAGGCTGTGTGTGTGTGTGTGTGTGTGCATGGAACCTGGCTGTAGTCTTAAAAAATCATAGAAATGGGGGCTGTAGCCTCCTGAAAGGGGGAGGACTCCAGGGGGGTGGGACGGGCTCTGCACCTGCTCCGGGAGCGAAGCGACGGTGTTAGGAACCCAGTTGGTCAAAGGCTGGTTCTACTGAAGGTCTGGGATCAGCCCTTGGAGCAACTGGGACATGGCCTGTAGGACACGGGGGCTCACCCAGCACCAGTAGCTCTTGGAGGTCTCTTCTAAGTGGTCCTTTGAGGCCCAGGCCCGTGTCTGGAGGAATAATCCTAATGGCAAATGAAGGATTGCTTGTAAAATGCTTATTGCAAATGAGGCTGGTGGAGCTGAGTGGAAGTGGTTCTGGGTGGCTTTTCCCAGAGCCAGAGGAGGAACCCTAGGAGATGGTGGGACCATCCCACCAACCATTGGAGCGAGGGGAACATCCTGGCATCACAAAAAGCTCCCAGGAGCTCCTGGCTGGGGTCACTGGGGCTCTGACTTTCAACACTGACTTAGTGTTGAAACCCCTCTGTGGTGGGTGGTAACAGCACCAGAGGCCCTGACATGGCCTGTAGGACACGGGGCTCACCCAGCACCGGTAGCTCTTGGAGGTCTCTTCTAAATGGTCCTGTGAGGCCCAGGCCCGTGTCTGGAGGAATAATCCTAATGGCAAATGAAGGATTGCTTGTAAAATGCTTATTGCAAATGAGGCTGGTGGAGCTGAGTGGAAGTGGTTCTGGGTGGCTTTTCCCAGAGCCAGAGGAGGAACCCTAGGAGATGGTGGGACCATCCCACCAACCATTGGAGCGAGGGGAACATCCTGGCATCACAAAAAGCTCCCAGGAGCTCCTGGCTGGGGTCACTGGGGCTCTGACTTTCAACACTGACTTAGTGTTGAAACCCCTCTGTGGTGGGTGGTAACAGCACCTGGAACTGGGGGCACCCCCTGCCATGGGGGGGGGTTAAACCTAAACCTTTGTGTGTGACAGGATTCCCCCTGTGCCCGGGTGGGTGAGGGGCTGGTGGACCTGCAATTGTACAATTGTGTTCTCAGCTCCACGGGTTTGAAATGTTTCCCTGAGGAATGGCTGATAAATAAACTGCGCAGTTTGTGTCTCTCAATGCACCTGTGAATTTTTGCAAAATAACACCCAATTCTGCCCAAAAAGGTTTGTTTCCCTGCCTTTGGAGAGAAAACCCACAGGCAGAGGTTGATGGGGTTGGAAGGGACCTCTGGAGATCATCTCCTCCAACCCCCTGCCAGAGCAGGTCACCCAGAGCAGGTCCCACAGGAACGTGTCCAGGTGGGGTTTGAATGTCTCCAGAGAAGGAGACTCCACCACCTCCCTGGGCAGCCTCTGCCAGGGCTCTGCCACCCTCACAGGAAAGAAGTTCCTCCTCATGTTTAGATGCAATTTCTTATGGCCAAGTTTGTGCCCATTTCCTCTTGTCCTGTCCCTGGGCCCTGCTGGATGGCATCAGCCACCCCTCCCAGTTTTGTATCATCAGCAAATTTGCTGAGGGTAAAATCATAGAATTGTCCAGGTTGGAAGGGACCTTTAAGATCATCCAGTCCAACCATCAACCTAACCATGAAACCCATCACTAACCCATGTCTCTCAGCACTGTGTCAACCCGGCTTTTTAAACACCTCCAGGGATGGTGCCTCAACCACCTCCCTGGGCAGCCCATTCCAAGGCTTCATAACCCTTTCCTTGTAAAAATTGTTCCTAATCTCCAATCTGAACCTCCCCTGGGGCAACTTGAGGCCGTTTCCTCTTGCCCCATCTCCTGTGACTTGACAAAAGAGACCGACCCCCCCCTGGCTACACCCTCCTTTCAGGGAGTTGGAGAGAGCAATAAGGTCTCCCCTCAGCCTCCTTTTCTCCAGGCTGAATAACCCCAGCTCCCTCAGCCTCTCCTCAGGAGATGGATCCTCAGAATGGATGGGATGCCAACAGGATGGTACATTCCATCCCGAGCTCTGCTCAGAAGGGACGGGATGCCAACAGGATGGTACATTCCATCCCTTCATCCAGATCATCGAGGAATATACGGAAGAGGATCCATAACGGATATCGAAGAACCCAAACGCTGCGCTGCAGGTGCTGTGGGACTTAAAGCAACCAAATTAAAACACCGATGAAATTAATAGACATTAGAGTCTTACCCCTCTAAGAGGATCCATAACGGATATCAAAGAACCCAAACTCCGCGCTGCAGGTGCTGTGGGACTTAAAGCAGCCAAATTAAAACACCAATGAAATTAATAGACATTAGAGTCTTACCCCAGACCGACTGCCCTTAAAACAGGTTTCCTTTTCCTTCGCTTTTCATCTCCTGAGCTGCCCAGCAGCCGAGTGCGTTACCAGCAACACAACAAACCAAAAAAACACCTGAAGTTTTACTTTTCCATCTTACTTTATTTCACTTTTTCTAGAAAATTCCTCCATAGTTCCACAAATTTAACAAAAAGTTTAAAATTCAGGACAAACAATCCTGTAACGTATTACAAACATGAGTTTTTTATTTTTTTTATTTTTTTTTTTTTTTTTTTTTTTTATTTTTAATCTTGAAGTTAGTCTTGGGCCAGCTGAATTTCTTACAGCTGAGTGAAGAATTCATTTCCCAACACAACTTTTAAAATCCTCAAGTGACAAGGTATTTAATACCTCGGCTCTAGGCAGAAATACAATTAAAAATCATCTAGAAGTTGAAGTACTTACAATTTTTTTTTTTTTAATTTTTTTTTTTTCTTTTAGGAGTGCAAACTCATCTTGTCAGTTTTTGATGGCTACTTCACGCCCTCAGGAAAGCAATATTGATGGATTTTTCCTCATTTTTTAGAAGTACTAGTGGGTGCCGGGCACCTGGGCGAGCAGAGGGAAGCTCCGGGCGAGCGCGGCTCCGGTGCCTTCGCCACCGTGAAATTTGGGGAACCAGAGCGACTCGGGGGTGTGTCCCCCAAACTTGCAGAGAACGGGCCGGGGCAAAAAGCTCCCTCCGGGCAAGTTTAAACCTCTCTCACCATCAAAACACCTTCAAGATCCCACAAAAAATAAAACTGCTTCTGGATTGTTGCGTCAGTCTCTCCGCGAGTTCTGCTGCTCCCACCGCGCGGCGAGAGGAGAACGGGTGGTAAAATCATTGCACTTCCATGTCGTGGGGCTGACCCAGCACAGTCACCCTCCTCACCTACGTGTCCAATACTCCTCAGCTGCTGCTCTGGGATCCAGGCACCCAGCCAGCCTTACTAGCCTTTCTTTTTTTTTTTTATTTATTTTTTTTTTTCCTTTTTTATTATTTTTTTTCATAGTAAATGTCAGTAATCAAAGCCTCAAGGCTTAATACACACGCAGACCGAGACACCAGGAATTACTCCTGCCCCTTCTTTTGCCCTTTAATACAAAGGCCGAGGCCAAAGGAAGAGCCGTGTCCTGATCTCACCAAGACCTTTCCACTCAAAGCAACTCCCAAAGCCTTCAGACCCACCAGCACTTCTTCACGCCCTCGGTACCAAGACGAAGGACACTGAAAAGTAACAGAATTCTGTCCGTTTTCCTTGGAAAAAAAAAAACCATTATGGCTAGAAGTCGATTTTGGGTATTATTATTATTATTTTTTTTTTTCCTTTTTTTAAATTTTTTTTTTTTTTTAAACAACGCAAGCTACTACACATCCTCGAAGACCTGAAGCAATGCCAAGAGCAGCACTGCCACCTCCTTCCTAGAGTACAAGAATCCATCCATGCTCTCAAGAGTGACACAAGAACAAAAAACCACTTTTATCCACAAATACCTGTACACGGCATGTTGGGAACAGCATCCAGCCAGCCTAGAGGGGACCTACACGGGGAACTCGCTCATCTGGAACTAGAAGGGGGACACAAAGACGAGGCCCAAATTTGAGCATCCTTTTTCTTTGCCAGAGCCATTCCTCCTGCGGTCCCCGCCGCTACCACATACCCCAAAAAACAACAACTCCGTAGAACAACTAAGTACTTGCAAGAAACCTTTTAGTAACAAATCAGCATGTGCACACCATGGAAAAGAACTATTGCTGGGGGTGGGGGGGGGAAGGGAACAATCCTATCTCAGGTTTTCAAGGAGATTATAAACAGTCTAAAAAAATCCATGTGTAAAATACTTCTTATAAAAACCAAACGAAATTCCTATCAATGCTCATCAGACTTCACCGATGAAGTTGGTGGAGGGAGAGGACGATGCCAGAGCCGGGGGGGGGGAGCCCCGGGCGCTTCCAGCCACGTCCAGGAACACCCTCCCACGCGTGTTCTTGGACAGGCTGGGAGCAGAGGGACCATCTCATGGTGACAAAGGGACAGGAGGGAGGTGGCACCTCCCATCCCTAGTGGAGCAACTCTTGGAGGCTGCTGACGGCACCAGGAGAAGCGCTGCCAGGAGAGGTGACACGGACGCAATGGGAGGAGGTTCCCTGGGTGGAGAGAGGAGGCAAAAGACCTTGGGAGATCTCATTCTGGTCCTACCACCGCTGCTCCTACTGCTTTGGGGCCAGAACAATGTCACCAACCCCACCCTGCCCTGGGGGCAGCACACAGGAGGCTCCACACACCCAAGGAGCCAAGTTTGGGGCCGTAGTGACCCACACAAGGCTGATCTCCTCCACACCACAGACCTAACAGACACCACGAGCAGTTGACACGTACCCACCAGGCCTAACAGCACATGGGACAGGCTGTGACACTCCTGGCTGCTGTCCTGTCCTCCACCACAACGCGTCCCACTGCCAGCAGCTCCTCCTCCTCCTGCTGGCCTCCACCTTCTCAAGGTGTCCGTTTGCGCACAGGGTTTCTATCCAGGCTTGGCATTGTCCATCAAGAAAGAAAACAGCTGAGATCACTGTCGTGACAGGGTTTGCACCTGGCCATGAGCTTGATTTTTTTCTTTTTTTTTTTTATATATATATATATATATACACACACACACACACGCACACGAGACACATGAAAAGATGGTACAAAGACAAAAATTAATGGGAATCGGGTCAACATGACCCAACTCAAACAAGCTTATCATCATATTGCCACTTCAGTTGATTAGTTGCAACATTTCCATGATAAAAGAAAGGGGTAACCCAAAACAAGGGACTGCAATTCCAGAGTGGAGAAGGGACAGCAAACCCTGGAGCGATGGGATCCCTCCCCCCCCACCCCCAGCTCCCACACGGGGCTTTCACAGATATGGGGGGTGCACCCAGAAGTGGGGGGCTCCCCTGGACCACTGCTCACCCCCTTGCTGCCTGCAGCCCACTCAACATTTGGCAAAAGCTTACACACACTGATTGGAAAAAAGACAGAGCAAGAATTCTTCAAAAAAATACTGAATTTAGGGAACAGGAGCGTAACCTGGTTTGGAGGAAAGCCACGGGACTTTCCTCACACCCACCTACAGAACACTTGGAAATCAATACTAGTTTCACTAGAAATACAGGAAAGATTCTGGGATTAGTGTTTTTACTGTTTTCTGCCGTTCCTTTCACAGGCAGGGGGGAGGGAAAGGGAGGAGGAAACAAACCTGACTTCACTTGGTTTTTACATCAGCGTTTTCCAGGTGTGTCCCAAGATAAAAACCCTCCCTTGTTTTGGTTTTCCCAAAGTACAGCCACTACTATAGGGGCCACTGTAGGAGATTCCTCTTTGAGAACATAGAACACAACCAATCACCTATTTTGGCAAAGTTATTGAACACTGACAAATGGAAAGACGACAGGTGAGTCCCTTCCAGAGCACAAAAATGCTTTGAAGATTGCTGTTCAGCTTTCAGACACTAAAAATTGTCCACGAGGGGCATTTTAACAAACAAGTCAAATCTTATTAAGCGCCCTTCCCCTGCCAGAGCCATTAAAAAAACATAACAGAAAAAAACACACCCTTAAGATCATAAGACCCAACTAGGCCCTTCTTATACATACAGTACATACATATATATAATATATATATAAAATATACAGCTTACAGTTTTGTAGTCCTATTACAGTTAAAGCAGACTGAAAGGAGTGAGACTTTGTTTAGGAGCTCAGATCAACAAACAAGACATCTCAAAACCCCAGCAGGAGACAGCAGGTTCTAGAGGCCTCTCCAAAGAGCACAGAAACTGTCCCTGCAGGAAGCTGAAGGTCCCAGGTGTGGGACGATGATGCCCTGTAGGAATTGGGAGCCAAATTACAGCAGTGCTCCGGAGCGAACCGTGGCAGAACTAACTTGCAAGGGATCAAAACTGGAATCTGTCCACTCTTCCTCTGCAGCAGACCAGCAGGACCCTCCTGGGAGGCCTCCTCTGTCACCAGTCTCTCAGCTGGCTTTGTAAAAGCCAATCTTGCTTTACACACAGCACCAACAGCTTCTGGGCGGAGCTGGAGGAAACGGGACTCGCTAAAGCTCTCCGCAGGCAGGCTGGTCCCTAGGTTTGGTGAAGAAAACATCGTCCACACTTCTTCAGATCTCAGAGACACCTGAAAACGTGCTCTTAAAAAACACAGTTTCTCCAAGTAAAAACCAGAAAAGGTCAGGCTGTGCAGCTAAGTGCAGCACATCTCTTGCTCTACTCAGGACCTGTGCCCAGGCGTTACTTACATGAAGCTAGGGAGGACAGACTCAGCGATATGGGCGCTTGGTTTGAAGCCTACAAGAAAGTGCAGCTGGCTGTGCATTCATAGAGCATGGCTGTTCTCTAAGGCAGTGCTTCGGGTGAATCAAGAGAATAAGAAGGTCTAGTTCCATGGGTTCGTTTCCTGGTACCAATAAAGGGGATTTCTGGTTTCAAAAGCAGCCCGCTCCCAAGGCCAAGCGTCATGTGGCTACCGCTTCCAAGTAGCTCTGCAGCTTACGGACGGTCGTCTCATCCAAGGAGAAGAGGTCAAAGTCAAAGGTTGTGTTGGTAACATTAAAATGCCCGGTTTCCTCAATGAGATTTACAATCTGTACAGAAAGGAGACAAGTAAAGATGTATAGAGACCCCATAAAGATGAACTACAGCAGATACAGAGCAACCCATCCCAGTCCTTTCCTTATCCCTTTGGAGATGAGAGCATCTCACAACATAGAGACATGGAATCGTCTAGGTTGGAAGAGACCCCTGGGATCATCGAGTCCAACCATCTCCCCTACTCTACAAAGTCCTCCCCTACACCATGTCCCTCAGCACTGCATCTAAACGGCCCTTAAACACAGCCAGGGATGGGGCCTCCACCCCCTCCCTGGGCAGCCTGTTCCAATGCCCGACCACTCTTTGGGTGAAAAATTCCTTCCTAATGTTCAATCTAAACCTCCCCTGTTGGAGCTTGAAGCCGTTCCCTCTCATTCTGTCACTAATTACCTGTGAGAAGAGACCAGCACCAACCTCTCTACAGTGTCCTTTCATGAAGTCATAGAGAGCAAATCTTCTCCCAAAAGGGCAAACCAGCTCCTCCTGCTCACTTGGAAAAGTCATGTGGGCACATTTCTTTAAATTAGACCAAGAGAGCCCAGCTTTGGGTCCACTATGAGGGTGGCAGAGGAAAGGTGCCCACACCACACTTCTTCATCTTTTCTAACAAAAACATCGCGTGCACATCTGATTTTATTTTTTTTTTTCCCTACATCTCTTTGCTTTCAAAGCGAACCAGACCATCTCACAAAGGAGAGGCACACGAAAGGCTGAGACCCTTGGGCACAGAGATGACCAGAGTACAGCAGTTTGCCAGGAAGCTGGAGAGATCCCTACCTGCTGTAGCACGTTGCGCTCCCGTAGTGCCATTAGTCGCCTGTGAAGCTCCACCAACTCATCAGTGTAGGCCTGTAGAGGAGGCATGAACAGAAATATGACACTGAATGACTGCCAAAGCCACTTTCCTACTGAGGATACGAGGAACCTGAGGCCCTTTCAGTCATGTTCCTACTCCCCAATTTTTCCCTAAATTTTTTACTGCCTCCTCCATCATTACCGAGTACTGGGAGACTAAAGACTTCACACAAATGGGGATGGCCTGAAGACCATCAGCAAAACGAGTTAATGACACCATTAAACAAACACCTGTGACCAGCTTCAAGAAGTGGTCAGACCCTTTGATCTTCGAGGACCTCAACCTTGGTGAACTTCAGTGTGAGTTCTTCATCAGGGAGTTGTACTAATAAACTACTCATTACCTGAGAATACCTGCATCAGTCACCAACATCCCTGAGCAATGGTTTGGGTTTAGGTAAGGAACAATTTTTGAGTGCACTGTGTTCCCAGGTGGTTTTACTGGGAAACACAGGATTGTTTCCAAGCTCAACATGTGAATTGCTCTTATTTAAGGGTGGTTTGGTTTTTCTTTTTTTTTTTTTTCCCCCCAAGCAGGCAATATAGTAAGTGTCTGTTGGCACACTGCTCTGCACAGATATTTTTCTTTTTTTTTTTTTCCAAGCAGGCAATATAGTGTCTGTTGGCACACTGCTCTGCACAGATTCCTAACCTCTAGAGCTACCCCAGAGCTGTTTGTGCCTGTATCAGCAAACCCAAACACATTTAAGCCATTGTACCAAGAAAAAAAACCAAAAAAATAAAATCCCAAACTTTTCCCCCCACCCCAAATGTGTGGAATATACCCCACCCCAAGCACATTCACACAGAGAAAAGCATTTTCCCCCCAAACACCTAAGCAGCACTGGATGCTGGGCTTGCTGGGAGAGCCAGTATCTTTTGTAAAACCCCTGACAGTTGGAAAAGCTGCTGGTATTTCAGGCACTCAATGGGTCTCAAGGCTGTTTCCTTCTATTTATATTAAGTATCTAATAAAAGATACTATTACCTACAAACCTTGCCTCAGACAAGCCATCCCAGCTCTGGTTTACAGTATTTAGTGGTTAAATATTTTGTATCTGAGTCTCCTGCTTGCTATAAGTATTCCAAAATCACACTCAGACCTAACATGAAGTGATTAATCCGTGAGGTGCTCTCTTGTTGAAAAAGTGTTCACACACCCTGATTATCACAAGGACCTCAATGATTAGAGGAAGAAAAAGTTTCAAGCTCCCATGTGATTGATTTCTTTATGAAAAAAAAAACCCAAACCACAGTGGGAGAACTTTCAGGACAACTTGGGGTTTGGGTATTTGCTGGCGAGTCAGCCATGCTTTGGGAGCATCTCCACAGCTCTGCTTTCCTCGGAGGCAAGAAAAGGAAGGAATTTCATTGAATAAACAAAGGTTTCAGCTAAACCAGCAAAGCAGAGCATCAAACAATCTTTAATTTGTAAGATCAGAGACAGATTGAAAATTGCCTTTTAATGCAGAGACACCTTCCACTGCAGCAGTGGCCAGTGGTTCAGACAAAGGGCAAACAAATAAAACTAATTTAACATTTTGCATCTGGAAATGACCTGGGGGTCCATCTATTGAATATATACAATTTCTGCAGTGTCACTTTCCACAGTCTGTCCCTTTCAACACCTCTCTTTCACTATACTCAAGCTTTTCACCCGCTGACAGAGCAATGTGGACAGCCTGGGCTGATTCAAACCCTTTTCTACTCCGAAGTGTTAGTGAGCACCCCACAGTTCTAGGACATGCAAATCCTCAAACAAACCTTGTCGTACGTTCCCTTCTTCAGGATCTTCTCTGGCTTGTTACAAGACTCTGGGCTTTTTCTTCCAGATGCCTGAGGAGAAAAGAAATCAATATTAGGGACTAAAATCAGTTCAGACAACACAGTGGTTTAATGGCCTGGGCACACAGCACTGAACAGAGAGAAATTACAGGCTGGAGAGGTGGGCCCAGGTGAACCTCATGAGGTTCAACAAGAGCAAATGCAAGGTTCTGCACCTGGGCCAGAACAATCCTCGCCACCAATACAAACTGGGGGGTGAGGGATTGGAAAGCAGCCCTGAGGAAAGGGACTTGGGGGTGCTGGTGGAGGAGAAGCTGGACATGAGCAGGCAGTGGGCAGCTGCAGCCCAGAAGGACAACCCCATCCTGGGCTGCATCAAAACATGCATTGCCAGCAGGTCCAGAGAGGTGATTCTGCCACTTTGCTCTGCTCTGGTGAGACCTCACCTGGAGTATTGTGTGCAGGGCTGGAGCCCTCAATATAAGAAGGACATGGACCTGATGGAGCGGGTCCAGAGGAGGGCCACAAGGATGATCAGGGGGATGGAGCAGCTCTGCTACGAGGACAGGCTGAGGGAGCTGGGGTTGTTCAGCCTGGAGAAGAGGAGGCTCCGGGGAGACCTAATAGCAGCCTTCCAGTACCTGAGGGGAGCCTACAGGAAGGCTGGGGAGAGCCTGTTTAGAAAGGCCTGCAGTGACAGGACGAGGGGCAATGGCTTCAAGCTGGAGGGGAACAGATTTAGACTGGAGATGAGGAGAGGGTTCTTCACTGTGAGGGTGGTGGAGCACTGGAACAGGTTGCCCAGGGAGGTGGTTGAGGCCCCTTCCCTGGAGATATTCAAGGAGAGGCTCGACGAGGCCCTGGGCAACCTGGTCTAGTTGGGGGTGTCCCTGCTGACTGCGGGGAGGTGGGACTAGATGGCCTTTGGAGGTCCCTTCTGACCTGGGCAATTCTATGATGAAGACAGTGAAATAGGGAAAAATTGGCACAAGTCAGAATTAACACCATGAACACAACAGAGGAACTTTGGTGATGGAAAGAAGCAATGTATGTGCAGACAGGATGCAATACCTTGTTATTTGCTGGGGGCAGTTTCTGGCCAGGAGGAGGCTCTCGACTGGGCAGGCAGGAGTCGGCGCTGTTATCGCTGTCACTGTCACTGAGGCTCAGTCTGAAAGACAAGCAGCAGAGAATTAGCATCACCAGGTAAGGGGAAATTCACTGCTCTGCCAACCAAACTACACAGAGTTATGTGAAATTAATTTCTTTTTTACAGACTGCTCAATTGTCTGGGAGAAAAGGTCAGTCTGTAATTTCCAAGAATCCCTTTTTTTTCCCTGCTGACATCACTTTTGCCATCCCCCGTTCCCTGGGCAGGCAGAGCAGGGAGTTTCAGTTTCCACACTACAGCCAGCAGTTCAGCTCCTTCCTACACAAGTCTCTTTAGAACAACTGGAAAAAATACCACCTGATTTTCACAAATGGCAACTGTTCATTTTGAGGATTCATTCCAAGATCACCGAGTACCTGCATAAGAGGTTTTCCAACACCCCCACAGAGAACACAGGCAAAAAAAAAAGCATCTAGTGTTTGTTGTGACCTTTGAGATTTCCTACTTCTTCTCATTCTTCTTGTGGCCCTACAAATGTAGGATACCTGCTATAATGATTTTATTAACTTGAAAAACTGTTTATTATCTATCCCTTAAAGGTATAAAAAAATATTAGTCTCTTCATTCCTGCTTAGTTGGCAGTGACAGAGTGCAACAAAGGATTTTATTTTATTTTTTTAGTTTTTGGTGAATCAAAGCATCATTAGAAATTTGCAGCTGCTATCTGGGCCAAGGGTTTGGTTTTAAATATTCAGCCCAAGACTCCAGTTTTTGGCTACGACAACGTTTCCTGAGGGAAGAAGGATGAAATTCAACTATTTCCATTGACTAAAGCAGGAAACAGCTGTTAACCAAGTCCCGGAGGAGTCAAGTAACCAACTGTCAGCACGCTCCACCGGCAGAGACTCAGACTTCTCAGCCTGGTGTCAGTCACAGGCAGTAAGAGGAGCCCACACGCTGACAGCCTCCACAACACCTCTCTAATCTCTGCAGATCAAAGGTATCACACCCCATTCAGCTCAGCAGAGATCTGAAGAGGACAATTAGGTGACTATTTTGAGGGGCTCAGTCACTAACACCTGCACACTCCAACACACCACTTCCCAGTGCCTTCCTCTCTTTGAGCTCGGGTGATCCCTCCTCATCCCAGTCTGTTCTCACCCTGCTGTTTTCCTGGAATCCCTGTCCCCTCCCCCTCTGCCAAGTACTCCACATTTCTGCCCTTTCTCTTCTTCTTTCACACTTTTCCTCTCTCCCCACCCATCACTTTGATTCCTCCCTCCAAAAGGAGGGAGAGGTTGAAACACCAAACCTGGGGAGCACAAAAAGACAACCAACATCTTTCTTCCTGATTTGTTACCACCTGGAATCCCGGCTGACGGGGTTTGCTTTGACTGCTGCCTCTTCTCCAGAGGAGCTGTCATCATCATCTGACTCCTCTGACTGCAGGTCCTCCACCATGGAGCGCAGGGGGCCTGGGATGAGAGGGGAGAAAGGAATTCAGCACAGGGACACACACAGCAGAACTCCATCCGAGCTCTCTGATCTAAACTGGATGAGTTATTATTAAGATACATCAAGATTTCTGAATATGTCGTCACTGGTAGTTTCATTTTGCACAAAGATATTGCTAAAACCCACTGTATTTCAGCCTCAAAACTCAGAGTTGCCAAACTTTACAACTGCCACAAAGCCACCCTACCCCCCCCCCCCC